AAGGAACAAGAACAATAGAACCAGTAGCTGTGTCATTGATGACATGACTAAGAGTACTTTTACCAGCTCCAGGATTACCCACAAGGAGGACGTTAACATAAGAATCAATTGGATGAGATGATTTTATATCACCAAACTTGTTAAAGATAGGAAGAGTACTATACCATCTCTGGAAGAATTTTAAAGCTGGAAGTGTTTCGCTGTACCAATTTTTTTTAGCTAGTTGTAATGGTGTTCTCCCCTCATTGTCTTTAGCCAATGGATCACATTTACCAGTTGATAGTAAATATTCAACAACTTCAGCTTTATTGTAATAAGCAGCAAGGTGAAGAGGTGTCTGCCCCTGATTGTCAACAGTCATTGGATCACAGTGTTTCTCATTGATGAGATACTTGACTACATCAGATGAATTGCTTCCAGCTGCTTTATGAAGAGTTGTCATGTTGTTAAAATCAGTAGCCATTGGATCACAGTGACACTCATCAATGAGATACTTTACAATATCAATGTGTCTAGCTGCAAGGTGAAGAACAGTCTGACCACTATTGTTAGTAACCATTGGATCACAGTGACACTCATCAATGAGATACTTTATAATATTAATGTCAAAAGCAGCAAGGTGAAGAGTAGTCTGACCACTATTGGTAGTAGCCATTGGATCACAGAAATGATGACTGATCAAGTACTTCATGACATCAAGTGATCCACTATCAACTGCTTTGTGAAGAATAGTGTCTCCATATACATCAATAGCCATTGGATTGCAGTGACACTCATCGATAAGATATCTCATTGTATCAACATGATTACCTTCTGCAGCCAAATGAAGACAAGTCTTAGTTCCATCATCACATTCATGTGGATCACAGTGATATTTAGTGATGAGATCTTTTGTAACATCTAACCAGCCATGTCTTGAAGACAACTGAAGTAGATTAATTTTGTACCATATTCGGTCATAAGTTCTTTTGATTTTATTTGGTTCCTTCACTAATGGTAGTAAGGAAACAGCTTTGTCATGTTTCCCATCTCTAAAGGCAGCCCAGCACTGGTCCTCTAACGACATTATCTTGTGATTGTTGCCACACCCAAACTTAAGGAATTCATTATCCATACACTATATACAGACACCATGATTATCAGTAACTGATGAGGAGGGACAATATCAAAAACAATCAGAAACATGTATGTACACAGCTGCTGTTCATTAAAAATTCACCAAAAATATATAACTATTATAAACAAACATTAGAGACTCAGAATCAAGAAGTTTCATCAATACTAAATTTAGGTCAAATATCATTTGCTAAAAAGCCAAAAATATCAACAATAGATAAAGTGCTCCCAAAAATTTCAATAACTGTACCAATGTAACTTGTAAAACATGCTGCAGCTAATATATATTTTTATATATGTGTATTATTTAATTTTGATTCATTGGCATATTTTATTCAATAAACCAAGAGGTTTCTAAGTGGTCCCAGGAGGTTTCTAATAGATTTAGAAACCTGGTATTCTGCAATCTGATTGTTCAATTTAAATTGGCATAATAGAATTAGAAATACAACAAGTTAAAAATGCATACACTTAGATTTAGAAAAAGTATAAAATTCAAGATGGTAAAGGAAAGTTAGAATATTAATTATAATAAGTATATTTGAGTTTATTATTATTATTATTATCATTATTTTTAATATTATTATTTTTATTATACATGTAAGTGAACATCGAAACAGTAATAAAATAGAGAGAAAAGAGATAATAAATTAGGTAAGGTGAATTTAAAGAAATAGTCAAATACAGTGGTTATTTGTGACATAAATTCACATGCATACATTGAGGGCTATAAAGTCTGAGGGTGAGATATCACTGATGAGAAGAGCTGGGGAAATTGCTGCTGGAGCTTTTAAAAAAGTAAATAGTTGCAAAATAAAAAATATCTCATTTTATGATTTATTTGCAACTTTCAACTACCTGTACCAACAGACAGACAGAAGCAATTTGGTCCCTTCCTGCTTTTTCCTCTTATTAGGGCTTGCTTTGGCTTGCCCACATAATGCTCAGCTTGGCTTGCTTTGTCTCGCCCATTTAATCTTTAAATATATAATTTATCAAATAAAACAACTGAACAGATAAGCCACATGTAATTCAATCAACTAATTTGATGGACAATATTTATTTCTAATGTAAGAAGCAATAGATTTCTCTTCTATTGTGTCCAGTGCTGTAGCTAATGATGACCAACTGGGACCTCCTTTCTCTCTCACTTTATCTTCTCCTCTTAACCAGGCAGACATACACTGTATCAGACATGGCTTACATTCTCCATGATCCTTCTTAATAGCATTTAGTGTTGGATCATATAATCCTAAATGAAGTCCAAACTGATGCCATTTAGTGCAATCCAATTGATTGAGTATTGTTAACTCTTCAATGACAATATCAAGATCTTTAATATCTATAAAATATCATTAATGACGTGTATATATGTAACACATACACTCGCACTACTTGATAATTGTGATAGTATACATTTTATAACATACCTAGCTTTATTTTAGTCAATGTTTCCTTGGATTTTTCAGTTTTTCCAAGCACATCCTATACAATAATAACTATAATAACTGATATTTGTGACTCTGTGCTTGTTTGTGAAGGCAATAGTGTATTGCTGAAAGGTGAGTTTAACAGATGTACCAGTATATATTATTAGTAGTAAAAGCCACACAATGACAACCCACAATTATGACAAAGACTGAGGAATTTGATAAGGAATTCATAAAATTACTTTTTAAAAATAATAATTATGACCTTTTGATTATTAGTGCTTGCATGTTATTATGTATCAAACAGTTTGTGTGTGTTTTAATTCTTACCTTAATATCACGTCCTCCTAATAGTGACAAGTTACTAATATCTGATAATGATTCAATAGAAAGGATCTGCTTTAATTCTTTGTGTCCTTTATCGCTCACAAGAAATGATCTTCCTTCATCAATTGCTAAGAGTACAGCTTTTACACTATACACTGTCCTTT